ACATGTTAAAAATATTTCAGAAGTTTATGTACCATGATTAAAGCATTCACTTGAAAGATTCTACAGTATATCTATGTTCCATATATATATTTGCCTTTTTTTTGGTTAATCCTCACCTGAGGATATTTTTTTCCATTGCTTTTTAAGAGAGTAGAAGGGAGGAAGGAAGGGTGAGAGAGAGAGAGAAACAATGTGAGAGACACACACTGATTGGTTGCCTCATGAATGCACCCGGACTGGAAATCAAACTTGTGACGCCTCAGTACACGTGCCGACATTCTAACCACTGAGCAAAACTGGCCAGGGCCTCTATGTTTGCTTTTCATCACCCCAAAATATATCATTGTTCATTCTCTCAGAAACCAGACCAAACTAAGTTTAACTGAGCTTATGTTTTTTTTTAATCCTCACCTGAGGACATTTTTTTTTTGCATTTATCTTCAGATAGAGCGGGAAGGAGAGAAACATCGATGTAAGAGAGACACACCGAATGGTTGCCACCCACACGACCCCAATGAGGCTGGGGACAAACTGCAACTGAGGTACGTGCCCTTAGCAGGAACCGAACCTGGGTCTATGGTCCACAGGCCAATGCTCTAACCGCTGAGCCAAAATGGCCAGGGCCGGAGCTTATGCTTTTGACCTGATCAATTAAGATTCTACAAAGCTTATAAGCTTTTATACCATTGTATTAATCGTCTATAATTTCCCCCAGGTCTCTTCTAGGAACCTGATATAAATCAAGTAACAGAATAAAATTCATGTCAAGCTGCAACTGGCCCTGGGAGTAGGGTTTTGGGATATTTACCAGTTTTTGAAGTAGTTCAGACCTAAAAAAGATCGTCTAATCAGAGTCGATGCCAAAGTCCTTTCGGTGCCTATGAGACCACATGAGCTTCCCCTAAACTTCAGTCTGAATCTCCTGCCACCTTCTTCTTCAATGACAAGCTTCCTACTGTTCTGGGATACACAAGGCTTGTGCCAGCTACAGGGCCCTCTATGTACAAAGCAAAACACTCTTCTAACCCAGACATCTCTGGGGCTAAAGCCCTTACCTCCTTCAAGGTTTTGCTCAAAGGCAATCTCATCAATGAGGACCCTTCTGACTTCTTCCCCATCCTTACCAGCCTTCCTGAACTCTACCCGATTGGAATGAATGTAGTTTTTCAGATAGGTGAACATTGAAACATATGAAGCTATGGATTTAGAAAGTCATTCAGAAAAATAAGACTATGAAAGAGCAGCTAGAAACAGAATGAGAAAAGGGAGGGGCCAAGAGAAGGTTCTCAGGCCTGGTGAGCACAGGGCAGTGTGGCTGCCGGTGACATCATAGGAAGACAAGGAAGGACATTTGACAACTCAGTTTGTCAACTATCACTAATCTGCACAATGACTTCTATTCTCTAGCTGTTGCTTGTGTTCCTCCTTCTTCTTCTCCTTTTTTTTTTTTAAATCCTCACCGGAGGATATTCTTTTATTTATCGTCAGACAGACTGGGAAAGAGAGAAACATTGATGTGAGAGAGACACATCAATTGGCTGCCTCCCTCACGACCCCGACCAGGGCTGGGGACCAAACCTTAACCGAGGCACGTGCCCTTGACCAGAATCAAACCTGAGGCTCTTCAGTCCTCAGGCTGAGGCTCTAACCACTGAGAAACCCAGTCATGGCTTGTGTTCCTTCTCTGTTAATAGTTATAAGAATCGGGGTGAGCTGAGGCTAAGAAACTTGATTCTTCCCACAGGGCACATAACTGAGAAGGTGTAGGCAGGACTCGTTAAATTAGTAGGTCCTCGGTACAATTTTCTACCTTGCATTTACTACATGAAGTAGTTAGCACGGATTCTCATTTTTTTTTTTTTTTTACTGCCGTGTATTTCAGATTCTGTACAAATTAAGTAGGATGCTAATGGCTCTAGATTAAGGCTTGCTTACACAGAGTATTTTAAAATCATAACCCTTCTCAGTTTACAAAACCCTTTGCATCTCTTTTCTCATTTAATTATCTTTCACATCAAAGAGATAAAATGTGTTGCTGCCCTACAAATGATTTGGGGGTTCGAAGTCAACATGTGGGAAATGGAGCCCTTTATTCCTTATTACTTGCGAAACAGATTGCAGCACCCCTGCAACGGCGAGAATGGGTACAGTGTCCTGAGTGAAGGAGGGCAGTGAGCCAGGGCTGTCCCCTTTACTCAGACTCTATTTTTGGTTGCACTTCCCTTTAACAGAGGCCAGAATAATCAAACCCTCGAATCAGGTATGTTAGTGATTTTCCACAAATGAACAGAAACTCTAAACCTGCAAGGGAATTTAAAGTAGCGGATGTAAATATTACAGTAAAAAAGAGACACCTCAACCAGCTGCTGTGGCTCAGTGGTTGAGCATTGACCCAAGAGGTCACCAGTTAGATTCCCAGTCAGGGTACATGCCCAGGTTTCGGGCTTAATTCTCAGTGGGGGGACATGCAGGAGGCAGCCTATTGATGTTTCTCTCTCATTGATGTTTCTCTCTCTCTTCCCCCCCCCTAAAAATAAAAATGTATTTTTTTAAAAAGACACACCCACTCATACCCTGTACTCCTCAGCATGCACTTGATCAAGCCCAAGATCAAACCTAAAATCCCCACACCATTCTCAGACAACCCTTCCCTGAGGTCCCTGGCTACCGCCTTGTCTGTGCCCCCACCCCCACTCACCCTTGACCAGAACACAAAGGCCCACGTCCAACCCCTAGAGCATTCAGCTCCCATGATTCAGTAAAGCTGTGCTGCACCTGGACTATGACAGGCACCAGGTGCACCAGTCACCTGTTATGGACTGCCCGCACCACTACTACAGACCAGTTTGCCTCCTTTGAAATGCACTTACCCTCAACCACTACAGTAGATTCTTAGTTATTAAATTTGTATTTGGATTACCTTTGCAGAGATTTGGAATCCTTTATTCCTTATTGCATATGAAACCAACAAGCCTTCAGCACTCTTGCAATGCAGAAAGGAGGAGCAAGATCACATCCATACGGTGATCACAGAGGTCCTCTCTGGCATGAGAACCGAGCTGGGAGAATGTACCAGCTCTCAAAAAGCCAGGGAAGAGCACTCAAGGTGGAAAAAAACTGCATGTGCAAATGTCCAGGAGCAGGAAGGGGCTTGGTGCATACAGACAGTAGATTGGAAAGTGTGAAAAGGAATAGTAAGCAAGAAACAATCTGGGTGAGAGTCTAGAAAGATGAACACAAGTCAGATCTGCAGGGCAAAATGTGAACTGCAATCTGTGTGCAATGGGAAGTTCTGTTTTGTTTTTTCTGTGAAGAATGACATGACCTCCTGCTCAGTGGAAAACAAATGGGAGGCTATTTCAATCGTCCAGGTGAGTGATGTTAGCCTGGACTAAGGGGTGGTCATAAACATAAATGGACATATGAGAAAGGTGATTTTCTTTTTAAATGGCACAAAACTAATTTTCAACATTATGTACTAAGTTTTCTTTACAGTCATTCATGTAATTTTATAAATCACTGCTAGTTATTATTTATTTTTTATTTTTTATCTTCACCTGAGGACATTTTTCCATTTTTTGTACAGAGAGAGTGGGAGGGAAAGAGAGAGAGAAACATCGACGTGAAAGGGACACATCGAGTGGCTGCCACCCACACGACCAACCTGGGCCAGGGACAAACTGCAACCGAGGTACATGCCCTTAGCGGGAACCGAACCCGGGTCTCTCCGGACCGCAGGCCGATGCTCCAACCGCTGAACCAAACCGGCCAGGGCTAAATCACTGCTAGTTATTAATATAACTCTAGAACAAGAGTTTCCAAAGTGGGAGCATGGGGTCAGATATAGCCTGTGGACACACATTTTGTTTTGCCCACAAAGTCTCCCCCACAATTTGTTAATTTGATATCTAAAAATCAGTATTTCCAATTTCCCTTGGAAATCATTTGATCTGGCAAACAACTGGCTGGTGACAACTGGCTAAAGCACAGGCTTTCTGGTACCCCCGTCTCCACGTCCAGCACACTTGCTCATTCATACCACCTGCTGGAAAGATAGTTGAGTTTTCTAGTGTTCTCGTCTGTTCCCACTTATGCAAGCCCTTGCTCACTAAAAGCATCTCAATGTGGACCTTGAAATAGAGCGGCAGGTTCATCGCATTTCACCTTAACACAATTTTGATCACCAGCTGGCTTTAATCAGGCACTCCAAGATAGGGAACCATCCAAGAGGAGGTCGGTACTCGGTCACGTATGCCACACTCGGAAAGGAATAATTGCCAATCTGACGACTCTCCATTCCACTAGAAAAAGGCATCTATAATCCGAGGGACGTAGAAACGTCAGTCATGTATCACCAAGGTGATCTCCAGGGTGCCCTGTGCGTCTGCGACTTCACGTCTGCCTCGTTGCTGGCCTCTGAGCCTTTCGGGTCGCTACCTCTTCTGCCTCCTTTCCCCTCCTCTTCTGCCTCCTTTCCCCTCCTCCTCACCCCCACCGCTCCCGCCGCGGCCGGGATACAGAAGGTACGTCTACCAGGGCACTCGTTAACATCCATTTACCCATCTTCAATCTCAAGGATAATTCCCCCTGAACCTGCGTCTAGTCTGGGAACTAGAAAAGTCAACCATAAAGCCACCCCCTCCAGGCACAATTTGTAACGTCCTCGGGCACATTTTCCTCTTCGGGGCCCGGGCCCGTTTCCGCCGGTGCCAGGCGGCAGCATCCACCCGCGGACCCGCGGACCCGCGCCCCAGCTGCAGGCCCTCGGCCAAGGCGCGCCGCTCCCCGCCCCCCCCGGCCTTGTTTGCAGAACAGGGATCACAGTGACCCCCACGGGTCTTTCCCCCGCGGGGTTGCGGGAGAGACGCACGGTCTTGGCAAACACCGAGCTTGCAGTGCGGCAGCGCGCGGCAGCATCTCCGTCGCCCGGGCGAGGGGGGCGGGCCCGCGCGCGGGAGGGTCGGGGAGAGGGGCCGGGCGGGCGGGCGCGGCTCACCCACCTGCAGGCGGACGTTGAGCATCATGGAAGCCACGATGTACAGGTAGGGGAAGTTGATGCGCAGCCGCCAGGCCAGGTCGAAGAAGATGAGCAGCGTGCGGGTCAGCCCCTTGCAGAAGACCCCATAGGAGCGGGCGGCGGCCGAGCGCGAGAGCCGGACAGCCAGGCCCGACAGAGCCGCCGCCATATAGACCCGCGCCCGCCGCCGCCCGCCGCGCGCCGACCGGCCGCGGACCCGAGCCGCCTGGCGCTCCGAAGCGCGCCCGCCCGCTCTCCAATAGGCCCCGCGTCGCCCCCGGGCCTCCGCCCCGGCCGCTGGCCCGCGCTGGGCGCGCTGAGGGAGCGAGGGAGGCGGCGGCGAGGCCGGCGGCGGGCGGGCCGCGGGGAGGGGAGTCCGCGCGTCACGCTGTGGGAAGCGCCTCAGGGAGACACCACCCGCTCCCGGCCCGGCCGCCCAGCCTGACGTCACAATGACCGCGTCGCGCCTGCGCGCCCCAGCCCCACCCCCACCAGACCCCGCCCCACCCCGGTCCACCTTCCCGCAGGTGAGACGCGCATGCGTGGGCGGTGGCTTGGGGAGGGCGGCTGATGTGCTGTCTACGGCCGCCCCCTAATGGTGAGCAAGTAAATCAAAACGGAGGCGAGGAAGATTGAATTGGAATTGGAGAGGCGCACACACAACTCTAAATGCACTTAATGCCCTGAACGCTTAAAAAATTATTAGAACAGTAAATTTTATGTTATGTATGTCTTACCACAACTATAAAAAGCAAATAAAGAGAGGCAACGGACAGAACATTCTCTTCGTGTAGATTGCCTGTGGTCCCAGCCATTCCTGTTCACTGTCCACTTAGATCAAGTTTAATATTTTAATAATTATGGTATTAATGAAAGCCCTGGATGTGAAAAGTAAAAATATTGAAGCCTCTAAAACTTCTGGTGTTCTGGGTCTTTTGGAAGGGTTTCGACAGTGAGTTTTTTACATTCCTACTTAAGTATGTAGGTTTCTATCAGAGGTTTGCATGGTGAGAAGTAGATACCTTCCTTCTATTATATATATATTTTTTATCCTCACCCGAGGATATTTTTTCATTTTTTGTACAGATAGAATGGGAGAGACAGAGGAAGAGAGAGAGAGAGAGAAACATCGACGTGAAGGGACACATCGAGTGGCTGCCACCCGCACGACCAACCAGGGCCGGGGACAAACTGCAACCGAGGTACTGCCCTTAGCGGGAACCGAACCCGGGTCTCTCCGGACCGCAGGCCGACGCTCTAACCGCTGAGCCAAACCGGCCAGGGCGATACTTTCCTTCTAGTTTCATATTTCTTGTCATTATTTCTGCCCACCAATGAGGAAGTCTAGTAATTTGATACAGGTGGGACAAAAGAGTTTCAATGATGAAATGAAAAGCAAGTCTTAAGTTCTTCAAGAAAGCAAGAGTAAAAAGTAACATTGTGAAAGTGGTTTTAAATGTAAAAATCCTTTGTCCAAAATAGGTTACAATAATTTTTAAAGGTCATTTTTTTTCTTTATTGATTTTTAGAGAGAGAGGAAGGGAGAGGGAGAGAGAGAAACATCGATTGGCCACCTCCTTCATATCCCCCACTGGGGATCTGGTCCACAACCTGGGCATGTGCCCTGACCGGGAATCGAACCGGCGACCTCTTGGTGCATGGATCCACGCTCAGATCCTGAGCCACACTGGCTGGGCTAAAGGTCATTTTAAAATTCTTTACCCTGAAATTAATTTACATTCAAAATTATTTTCTTAAAAATATTCATTTTATTCATCTGGAATCCAAAGATTATAAATCATAGAGGACATTTCCTGTATTGTCATTTTGACTACTTTTTAGCATTATTATTTTTCTTTAAATGTCTACTGTATAAAAGAATTATCCTGCCCTGGCCGGTTTGGCTCAGCGGTTAGAGCGTCCGCCTGCGGTCCAGAGAGACCCGGGTTCGGTTCCCGCTAAGGGCATGTACCTCGGTTGCAGTTTGTCCCCGGCCCTGGTTGGTCGTGCGGGTGGCAGCCACTCGATGTGTCCCTTTCACGTCGATGTTTCCCTCTCTCTCTCTTCCTCTCTCTCCCTCCCGCTCTATCTGTACAAAAAATGGAAAAATGTCCTCGGATGAGGATAAATAAATAAATAAATAAATAAATAAAAGAATTATCCTCTTTGTTGCTTAGTCATCCTATATTTCCTATCCATTATGTTTCAGGCCAAGACTATTTTATCTTTTTTGTTGTTGTTTTTAATCCTCACCAGAGGATATTTTTCCTTTTTTTTTTTTTTTTTTTTTTAGATAGAATGGAAGGGAGGGAGGGAGAGACAGAGAGAGAAACATCGATGTGAGAGGGACACATCTACAGGTTACCTCTCGCACGACCCCGACCATCGAACCTGCAGCCCAGGTGCATGCCCTTGACCTGAATTGAACCCAAAACCCTTGGTCCAAGGGTTGATGCTGTAACCATTGAGCCAAAGTTTTATTATTAAAGTAATATTTTTCAAAGTATTTGCATAAACCTTTAATTTCCCTTTTTTGTTTGTTTGTTTGTTTATTCTTACCCGAGGACATTTTTGCATTTATCTTCAGATAGAGCGGGGAGGTGGAGGAGAAACATCAATGTGAGAGAGAAAAATGGACTGGCTGCCACCCACACGATCCCAACGGTGCCAGGGACAAACTGCAACTAAGGTACGTGCCCTTATCGGGAACTGAACCCAGACTCTCCGGTTCGTGGGCCGACGCTCTAACCGCTGAGCCAAACCGACCAGGGCCCCTTATTTTTCAGGATTATATTTTGCCACATGTATTGTTGACATTGAAAAGCTCACTTCCCTTTTTTGGTAAGCTATTGTTGCCTTTCAGAGCACAGTGGATGCTGTCTTTGAGGACTGCAGAGCACATGCTGCCGAATTATTTTTTTCAAGCTTCCCTTCCCAGAAAGCAAAATGAACCCTTTTTTATACAGTATTTAGGAAAATAATTGGAAAAATTTAAAGAAGAGAGTCTTCAAAGAAATATTTACCCCAATCAATCTAACAATGCATAAACAGGTTTGGAGATCAGCTAAATTTATTCTGAGGCCTGTAAAGATTTTCACTGGTGGAGAACTGGCTGTCTTGTTTATTAGAATAATGCTGAAAGACCAGATGGGCTGTGTCGATGTGTGTGTGTGTGTGTGTGTGTGTGTGTGTGTGTGTTTCTCTCTTCCCTGGCTACTCATTTCCTTGTCTCTAAATGCCACTGAGGCCATGAGGCATTTTTAGCAAGCCACTTAAGTACCATAAACAATGACAAAATTACCACAAAACTAAACTGAGCAAGGTAAGAAACCTGTTGTAACTAGACATAATAAGAGGTCAAAGAGAACAAGAAAAGCTAACACGATTTGAGGCTTAATATATACCTATCAAGGTTAACTAGTTCCAAGCTATAGAACAGGTTGGTGAATCAGTCTAGTCTCCTGAATTAATGTTTAATTCAGCCTCAACTTTCTGGCATCTCTGGGAAGACATGCTGCTAATTATAATCTGAGAAATTAACAGACAGAACTAATTATAAGTCAGTGTGAAAAGTATGTTCATAGCAGCACAAAGGGTTATGAGAGCAGGGAGGAGAAAGAAGGCTGAGGCATACAGGGAAATTTATTAACCATTGATAAACAGAATCCAGGTGATTTGCCTACAGTCATCCCTCCTGCCATCAGAGTAGGTAGGTAGGTAGATAGATAGATAGATAGATAGATAGATAGATAGATAGATAAAAAGTAATTTTTCTTTTTGGGTTAACCTGGTAGGAAAAGCACAGGGAAGCCAGGTTCCAGGTTCAGCAATTTTTCGGCACCCATAACCTGGTTCTGTGAAATGAAGATCAGGACCCCGTCCTACAGAATTTTCGTGAGAAAGAAAAGAGCAGGTGTGCACAGCGTCCAGCACAGTCCCAGGGAGACAGAGGGCTCCCAGGAAGTGATTGATATTTTCCCAATTAGAGCCCTCCAGTCCTTAGAATGCAAGTTGGATGGATCCATTAGTAATCATTATGATTAACAATGTTTCACTATGGACCACAAGTAGCCCAAAGAATGAGACAACTTGATTCTGCTACTGGAAGAGAGGATGGACACAATGATCCAAAATGTTGGTCAGAGATTATTTATACTCCCTTGCTCACTCCCGTGGAGACTTGGAAGGATGAGGTGGATTTAAACACAAAAGCTCAGCTACCATGCTGAGAAAATGCAAGTTTCCGGATTCTCACTGAAGGGCTCTTTCCAGACACCTGACATGTTATTTTAACAGATCAAGGTCAATGTGAGTTGTTGACACATTTAATAGTACTGAGTCATTCTTTTTTTTTAATTTATTTTTTTCCTTTATTGATTTTAGAGAGAGGAAGGGAGCGGGAGAGAGAAATATCAATGAGAGAGAACATCGATTGGCTGCCTCCTGCATGCCCCCACTGGGGATCAGGCCCACAACCTGGGCATGTGTCCTGACCAGGAACCGAACTGGCGACCTCTTGATGCATGGGTCGATGCTCAACCACTGAGCCACACTGGCTGGATGCACTGAGTCATTCTTAGGTGAAAAAGTAAAGGGATAAAAAGTATGCATTGAATGACACTGTTTAGCTAAGAAAAGGAGAGAACTGTGTGTATATATATGCACGTGTGTGTATATACATACATACATATATATATAAGAATCAACCAATGAATGCATGAGTAAGTGGAACAACAAACTGATGCTTTTCTCTCTCCACTCCACCCCCTTCCTGTCTCTAAAATCAACTTTAAAAATAATTTTTTTATCCTCACCCGAGGACATTTTTGCATTTATCTTCAGATAGAGCAGGAGGGAGAGAGGGGGGAAAGAGAGAGAGAAACATTAATGTGAGAGAGACACACCAAGTGGTCACCACCAACACAGCCCCAACCAGGGCTGGGGACAAACTGCAACCGAGGTACGTGCCCTTAGCGGGAACCAAACCCAGGACTCTCCTGTCCTCCTGTCCGCAGGCTGACGCTCTAACTGCTGAGCCAAATTGGCTAGGGCGAAAAAGTATTTTTTAAAAAATGGAAACTAGCCCAGCTGGTGTGGCTCCGTGGTTGAGCATCGACCCATGCACCAAGAGATCACTGGTTCGATTCCCGGTCAGGGCACAGGCCCAAGTTGTGTGCCAAATCCCCAGTGGGGAGCATGCAGGAGGCGGCCAATCAATGTACTCTCATTGATGTTTCTATCTCTCTCCCTCTCCCTTCATCTCTCTCTAAAATCAATAAAGAAAACAAAATAAAAATAAAAAATGGAAACTAACTCTAGCCCTGGCCAATTTGTCTCAGCGGTTAGAGCGCTGGCCCTCAGACCAGAGTCTCAGGTTTGATTCTGGTCAAGGGCATGTATCTCTGTCGTGATTGGATCCTCAGCCCTGGTTGGGGTCACGTGGGAGGCAACCAATGGATGTTGTTTCTCTCTCCTTCCTTCCCTCCCTCCCACTCTATCTGAAAATCAATGGAAAAATATCTTGGGT